TGAACAGAGGAAAGAAGTAAAATGATTTCACAGCATGTAACAGTGGATGTTGTATAATTGGCAGAATAATGCAACTTGTTAAATAGAAATAAAGGTGACCTACATTGGTTTTAAAGGTAGGGGCTGCATTTAGTAAAAGGAGCTTAAAATTAGGGACAATACATGTAATTTTCCAAAGTGAGGTGTCCCCAAGTGACTCTGGACTTAAAAATGCCTGTCCTTACTCTCTCAGGTGCTTTAAAAATCTCCCCCAACATCTACATTTATAGACCCAAAAACATGAGCTCGTTTTCAAAATTGTTACAGGTGCTTTTCCTCTCTAGAAAGGGCTATTGGAAATCCAGCTGCTGATACAAGAATAAAAAGATACTATTTCATGTTCTTCAAAACTTAGTTGTACATTTTATTTGTTTCACTTACTGTTTGTATTAAAATTGTGATAATATTTACAATTGCATGACTGGTTTTGTCTGTGCAGAATTAACCAGCCCTTTATAAGCATAACACACCATCCATGTGTAAGAAGAAATTTGACAATGGCTGGGATTTGTTGGAGGAAAAATGCTTTTAGTAGGGGGAAGTCTGGCCTCAGTCCTAGCTTTCAGCTGAAAATTCAGCTGATCATTTTACCGTGTTATACGTTTTCCAAATTTTAACTAAACTTCAAATAAAATTATTACAGTCTCCCATTTCTCCTAATAAAAGTGTAGTTTGAACCTGTGGAACTGAAATCAGGGCACAGCAGCAGAGCTGAGGCAATGTGCATGTTTTCAAGCTGGGTTTGAATTCTTGGTTCTGTGTGCAGACAAGCAAACCCACGTGTGCTTTTAATATAATATAATATAACATAATATAAGCTCTATTTAATTCTATTTCTGCCCATCTTGGTGTCCTAAGATGTCTCCATGCACAATTAATCCTTTTAGCTTGTCCTTTAGGATTCATATGAAACAATAGCAAGGTGATTTTTTTTTTCTTTAAAACTGTGCTGCAGGTCTGCTGATGCTTCCTTGTCCTTTTTTGTTTGTTTGTTTGTTTTTCCCCAGAGGAAGACAGATGTAAATTGTACTGCACAGCTGAAGACTTTGACTTTTTCTTCGCAATGTCCAGCAAAGTGAAGGATGGAACTCTGTGTTCTCCAAATAATTTTGATGTTTGTATTGATGGAATATGTGAAGTAAGATAAAATTAAGTTTCTTACAATCCTATTGTCTATTTTTTTTTTAAGTGGGCAGTTGACTCCTTTATGGAAAATGCAGCTGTTTCTTCAAATTCCCTTGTGTCTGAGTCCTTCACTTGTGCCTTTTGGTTGCAGCAAGTAGGGTGTGATCATGAACTTGGTTCCAAAGCTGTATTGGATGCTTGTGGAGTTTGTAAAGGAGATAATTCAACATGCAAGTTCTTTAAAGGCCAATACTTGATCCAGCACAAAGCTAATGGTAAGGAAAACTGTTCCACATGATCATCAACTCATTGCTCTGCTCTATCCCCATGTAATATATTTGACTCCTTGCTCATTTGGGCAGTGGTTGAGGTTCCAGATGTGAACTGAAAATCACAGGGAGAGTGAGAGGAGAGTTCACATTTCTCCTGTTTCTTGGTAACACAAAAGCTGTGAGTGTAAGTCTTGGTCAGTTGAGCATTCCTCTTGTTTCTTAAGCCACATTTTCCCTGTACGTGTGAATTTCCTCTTAAAAGTGATTTTAGTATTCAGACAAGTAAAAAAATAGCTGTCAGCAGCTCTGACTGCAGTGGGAGTGTAGAACATATAAAAAGCAATACAGAGCATAATGCCAAACATGACAGTATTTCCGTGTCTATTTTCAAATTAAGTTGGCTGGAAGCTGTCCAGCTGATTCAGTGGAAGATCCAGTCAGTGGGAGGTGGACTTTTCTTCAGTGGAACTGTCACAGGCTTCTTGGGAAGTAATCTCACTGTGCTGCAGTTTCTCAGGCATAAAATGAAGATGAGATTTCTGTACCCAAGGGGGTATTTCGAGGGTCCATTTACTTCTGATCATAAGACATGTCAATACTGCAGTAATATAGGCCAGGAAATTGGTCAGGATATAGTAATAGAGCACTGGCTGGCAGGAGGGGTATCCTGTGGTATCCAGGGCTTTGTGAAGGCTCTGTACATCCCAGTGCATCTCACCTCACAGCCCTTGTCCATGATGGTAGCAGTACCTTCCAACTGCTGTAGGGAACTCCCAGGAAAACTTGGTAAAACAGTTACAATGGAGCCACCTTTAGTATGTTCTGCATTTTTCTAAGGTGAACCTGATTTTTCTTGTCTTTAATCACAAAGAAAAATTTCAGGGATTGAAACACCTCAGAGTTACTCTGATTGCAGGCTCTATAACGTAGCGGGGTTAAAATCAGAACTGTTTTTTCCTTGTGAAAACTTGGTGGACCAGAACAGCTGTCTTAATTAAGCTGCAATAGTTTCAGATTGGCTGAAAGATGATAAACCATCTCTGTCTGTACAACAGCTGCAAACACGTTGCTTACTTCTTTCCTTCCAGACTACTACACGGTGGTGACGGTCCCGGCCGGAGCACGCAGTATCCAGCTCCAGGAGATGCAGATCTCCACCAGCTACCTTGCAGTCAGAAACCTGGGGAAAAAGTACTATCTGACAGGGGACTGGACAATTGACTGGCCAGGAAAGTTCCCTTTTGCTGGGACAGTTTTTGATTATCAACGCTCTTTTAACCATCCAGAGAGTCTCTATGCCCCAGGACCGACTAATGAGACGCTGGTCTTTGAAGTAAGATTTCTTCTGTTTATTCTTCCCCTGATGTCCATTACAGAATTAATAGCGACAGCTGGAGCTCTGCAGTGGAGCTCTCAGCAAGATTAAAGAATAGTGTTGAGTCACGATAGCATTCAGACTTAATTGTGTGGTCCTGCTGGATTGAAAGGCCTTTCACTACTTTATCAACGTCTGGAGTTTAGTAAACTGTCACAAACTCAGGGAAAAGGAAAGGGCACAAAACACACCATGCAGCATCATTTCTCAGTTGCTGCACGATGGTGATAGAGATTATAAATGCATCCCATACATGGTATACAATAAAACCCAATAATGTAAAAATTAAATGTAACATTATGTCAACAACTCAATGGTAACAGGTTCAAATAATGCTTCTGAAACTGCAGGTGCATGGAGCAATTTTCACATCCACCTTGGAACACAGTCAAAGTACCACACATAGTTTCCTGTAGAATTTCTGTTGATTCAGTTGTTTTATTATATATGTTTATCTCACAATCAAATTTGTATCACCTGCTTTGTCTGCCAGATGTCCTGTGTTGAAACTATAGTTAGTAGAAAGGAAATTTGGTACTTACGTTGTTTGTTCCAGTTTTACAATTTCAAAATTGGCCACTACTGCTGCTGTTCTAAGGATAATCTCTTCCTGCAATGGTTTACTTAACTAGATTTTCTTTTAAAATGCATCAGAACATCTGAGGGTCCATTTCTGGCTGAATCATCGAAGTCTTTGCTCCTTGTTAGCTCTGTTAGTTTGCTTGCTTTGTTAGAAAGCTCTGACAGGTCTTTGGCTTTGTAACTCAGCTGTTATGTCTGTTTTGATGAATCCTTCCTTCCCTGTGAGAAGGAAGAAGTCCTCTCCAGAAGGGATTAAGTTCCTTCCCACACCTTCCAGCAATACTCAGGTTGGTGCAGTGCACCTGGGGAGCAGGGGAGCGAGTGCTGTACCCCCTGTCTGAGGCTGCATCCTGCAGTCCTTCCCCCCATCCCATATCCCTGTCACTGAAATCCACTCCCTGCAGCCTCAGCAGGGAGCCCAGATCTCTCCATCCCACCTCCTTACCCAGCTTGGTTCTGTTGAACCAAGAGAGAGAGCAAGCACAGACTGCGACATGAAATATATTCTTCAAGGATTACATAAACTTTCACAAGTATCCAGTAAAGTGTTTATTTGGAATGCTGAAGAGCTTTACTGTTATTCATAGTGACTGAGTAATGTACTTAAACGTGGCTTTAAGAGCCACTGAGGGCCATGGACCATGAACACATGTTGAAGCACTTCGGGGTGAACACATGTTTTAGAATGGACAGTTTGACATGGGTTAAGGGTGTGTATTTTCACAAATTGCCATCATAACTCTCAATGCCTTTTTAAAACATTTTTCTCCATTGAAGAAATTTCATTTTGGGTATGTGTGTTAGCAGGGATCTTCCTTTAGTCCAAGGAAGAGTTTGGTCTGAACGTTACAGACATGCTCCCCTGACTGCAAATCAGCTCTAAAACAGCCTTACACCAAAGAAACAACCACACTTACAAATACTGTGAAATGTTAAGCTGAGCTCTCAGGAATCTTATTTGTCATAACACAAAGTAGATTTGAGCTGCGTTATTATGGAGTTAAAGTATGAATAATAAATCTCCTGCAAGACGACTTGGCTGCATATTCTGCACATACTTTGCAGAATAAAGATTAAAGAAAAAAATTTTAATGCCAAATAACACTTCTATTTTCATCCTATCAAATTATGCTAAACAGTTTTATTAAGATGTAACATTTAACTGGAGGCTGTTTCTCCTTTCAGAGCTTATTTAAGCTTCCCTTGTATTTTTATTGAAATACCTACACCACTGGCATTGGTAGCTAGGGATTCTAATGACTGAAAATGTTACTGTTATGTATTCCCCAATTATGGATAGCTATGAACTGCAGCTAAGGATTTTTTTCTCTTTTAATAATTAAAGCAACAATCAACAAGCTGAATTGTGAAATAAAATGCCAAATTTTCTATTCAGAGATCTGCATTAGTTATGATTTACCAGTAACTCTAAGACTCAAAAATGCCAATGAAAACTGAAGAAAATATACTTTGATGAGAAAACACACATATTGCTGAAGATCTGCTTGGAGCAGTAATAATGAAACAAATCCTACTTCCACTATAAATACCAGAAACTGATAGAAGGCTGAAAAAAGGAGTGTTTAAGCATAATACAGTGTAGCTTTGTTTTCATTTTTATCTCATCTGTAATTTTCAAAGAAGCATACGGGAAAAGTCATGCCAGCAATTTTTTTATTCAATTAAGGTTTTGATAAGATAAGGTTTTCCAGGGTTTGGACCTCAACTTCTTCCTGTAATCTTTAGATTCTTTTTCTTCATTTTGTAATTAGGTTGTATTCAAATGATATTTAATACTTCTTTTCTAGATTAGGTTTGTTGATATTTTTTTTTCCCCCAGAATACTTCAGTGCGAGCCCTTGTAAAAATGCACACTGCAGGTATTGAGTAAATAAATTGCATGTATAAATACAGGAACTTTTATTATTCGGGTGGGCAGAAAGTATAAGGTTTTGTAGCTGTATTTATTGCCATTCCACTACGACTGAAAGACAGATTAGCACAGTTTATTCCTGTTTCATTCCGTGGTTATAATTTCGTTACACATTTGTGTGGTGACTCAAATGGCTCAGGTTTTCTGCTTGGTTTCTGCATGCAAACCAGTCTGTGTGTATCCAGAAAGCTCAGGTTATGCACGTCCTTGGAGCAGCATTCCCAGCAGAGGATGGGACCAGACAGGTCTGGCAAGTCTGCGCTTAAGGCAATCACTTCCTTTGAAATGCAGTCGTTCTCCAAAATATTTTCTTGAAAGAGACATCTGAAGTGTGTATTAAGAGAGAAGGAGGAGATGCAAACAAGAAAGAAAAAAATCTTTAAGTTCCCTATTGTCTTGCATACCACAAGTTCAGCCTTGCAGTTCTGTGAAATGGTTTGTATTTCTGTTTTCTTGTACAGTATGTTCCTGAGCATCTACTTTTCTATCAGGCTTTTCAGTAGTTCAGCTGAGCACGTATCATTTAATCAGACTTTGAAGTCCTCAACACTATTCAAAAATGGGTAAGAGACAGGAAAAAGACATATAAAGTGCTTTTCTTACTTACCCTAGAATTTCACAAAACCCCCTCCCCAGCACACACATATATTTATATATATTTATGTATATTAAATGTATGTAATTATGGAAATGGCTCATACTAGAAAAGACAAAGGGCAGTGAATCTGTAATTTAACTGGGTTGTGGGATAAGAAGTACAAATTATAGTGGCCAAATATTTTTCAGAAGAGGAGGAGAACATCATGAGGTGAATGTGGAATTAAATATGTATGACTGGTATTTCCTGAGCACAACTACTGGAAGGGTAAATGCATGATGAGATTTTAGGATTCATCAGGATCCTTTCTGGATTGTTCAGGAATTCATTTCACACGTGGAAGCAAGGGGAAAACCAGTAAAATGGTGTCCTTCAGAACTGGTGTATCAGTGCCCCTCTGAAGTTAATATTAGTAGTGTTTTGGTGATTGTGGGTATTTATAAACCAGTAACAGCTGAAATGAAAAATATTCATGGATTCAGAAGGCAGTTCCTGAAATGGCCCAATTTAGATTACATGAAATAACAATCACTGGGCAGAGGGGTAGAAATATGATAGTTAGATGCTAATCTAGGATGAGAAATTGATACCAGGTTTTTAAAATACAGTTTCTCTAGAATATTTATTTTATCTTAAATAGAAATAAGCTGGATTTTTTTTTAATGTAGTTGAATATATTCAGCTCATTTATCTGTCGTTTGGGTTTAGGTAATCCAAGGTCAGCACTTCCAATTTAAAGACCTTGCCAGTGTTTTTCTGTTAACTGAAAAATATTTAAGTTGGGGAGAAACAATCAGTATATTTATCACTCATTTATCCAGCTTTGCAAACAAGGGCTGCCAGTGGGCACCAAAATCCTTTGAAGAAGAGGCTGGCAGAGGCCAAGGGACATTGCCCTCACAGGGCTCTGTCACTACGGAACTCAGAACTCACTTGTGACATCCATTTGGTGAAATATTCACCCTCCAAAACTCACTCAAATCCTGGGAGAGATTCTGAAAGAGCAAAAGAAACTGAACTATTATGTGGGCGTGAAAAACGCTGCATGGCCAGGGATTGATGAACAGGAGTTTTATAATTTGGTTTTCCATGCTATCAGTAAACTAAGGAAGAATTGACTGATTTGAGAAGTCAAATATGATTTGAGAAAGCACTGTAAAGTTTTCCAGGATGAGGCAGGATCAGTATCCTCACTGAAGTTGACCTCAGTCTTGCTGAATCAAGAAATCGTGAGATCTTTGTGAAAAAGAAAAAAAAAAAAAAAGTTTATTTTGACATCAATAAGTAACAGATGGAAGGGATGCTTTGTAAAGAGGCAGATATCCATGGGAAGAGAAGGTGAATGGAGCTTCAAGGCAGGAATATGTCTAATTAAATCCAGGATATCACTTCCTCTTTATCAATAGGGGAAAACAGGAGAAAGGAGGCCAGGTGGAATGGCTTTACTGATGATGTAGCTGCCACTGGGAGAAAGCCAAGTTGCAGTTATAAAGGATTACATTTATTATTAGCTACTAGATGATAAATTTGTACTGATTTCCCCTAAAGAGAAAGTAGGCTAAAGAGAACTAAGATGTGCTTATAAGATACAGATGTTGATGCAATACAATGGATAAAAGGGTTCTCCTGTAGTGAGGAGAGATTAGCTGGACAGTGTCCCTGAAGGTTGTACATTTAGCATGTGAACAGTGAAAAAATGGAGACACTATAACAACGAAGATAAATTTGAAACAGCTGAAGTAGAAATGAGATCATGTAGAACCTTTCAAGGATACTTCTTTTTTTTTTTTTTCCCTTTTAATGACCTTAGTGGACTTTCTTGAAAAACAGTAGTTTGTCATAAGCTTTTAGTTAGGATTGTGTTTGAAGTTACTTTAGAAATATTGAAGAGATAAAACCCCCTTTGTTTTAAGGTTTGGCTTAAGTACTCAATGGGTAATTCTTCCTTTGCTGCTTTCCAAACAGGTGTTCTCTCACTTTCCTTTGAAGCTCTGGTGTTAGCCACTGTCAAGGATCCCATCCAGTAACTGCCCATTCAAGACAATGGTCTTGTTTTAAAACTTGTTTTAAGCAGTTTTCCACCAGCACCATATGCTGCATGTTTAGATTTATCCTACTGAAACCAGAGTAAATTCAGAGAAGTCAATGGAATTAATCTTGACTGAACAGAGAAATTGAAATCTGGCTTAGGATGTTGGATGTTACAATATTTATTGAACAGTGTGTACATCCACAGGGGATGAAAGCTGCAGGTCTCAAGCAGAGCACACCAGGCACTTGTCTTCCACACAAACTTCTCCATCTGCCCTCATGCAGACAGATTAACTTCATCCCCTGAAGAAATCTTCAAAGACTTACAAAGCACAGGAGTGACCCAGGAAGTGTAGCTGCAATTTGAAGACATGGATAAAAGCTCCCATGGATGCTGGGATTCAAAGTTGGGCCCTGTGCCCATTTTGTAAATTGGGCACGTGCAGAGTGTGTGCAGCTGAATATAGTCGTTTACCTGGTTCTTTTCTCTATGCTCATCTTCACTCTATAAGTGATTTGTAAATGTCTGTTAGTCCTCCACAGACCTAATGAGTCTTTTTTAGGCTTGTTACAAGCCAGGCATTAGTATGCTTTCCTATACATTGGACAAAATATTGTGGAAGAAAGAGGAATTTAGCTTGTGTAAATTAATCTCAATTCAGTGTGCTGTAAGTAACTTCACATACACATCTTACAGTAAAGAACCCTGAAAAGCACTGAGTCAATCATAACAAAGCAACATTGGTAGACTCTTTAAAAAATCTGCCTGCAAAATAAAGGTATTGTACTGGAAACTTAGGATGGCCATGGGAAAAAAATCAAATCTCAAACAAAGGAGCAGATGCACAGCTAGTTTGGAGAATTTATTGGTTTAGCTCTCACATCAAAATTAGCAGCAAAAGGAAAAGGTTCTTTACTCAGGAGAGTTCAATTTATCCATTGTTTTAACATTTTGTGCCCTAAGCAAGAGCCACAGTTCTTTTTCTTCGGGATAGATCCGGCAGATTCCAGCCCTAGAGCCTGTGGTTTTCCAACTCAAAAAGCTGTAAATTTTATAACTCTGCGCCCTGCGGTCAGAGCTGCTGAGTGTTGTGTCTGAAGTCAGGTGGTTGGTGTGTTAAAGGTAGACATTAAACAGTTCTATTGAGGAACTGGAAATGTTTAAGGAGGTTGTTTGCCAGCTGTAAATTTGGGAGCAAATGCCAGTTGGCTGAAAAGATGCTGGAATGCGTCCAGTTAAGTAGACTAGCACTGGAGGTCTTTCCAAATTTGTAGGTCTGATAACTTGGCTGAATATGCAGACTTCAGTTATTGGGTTGTTAAGAAAGGGCTTTATAATGAATGTTTGAAAATACGATAGAAAACTTTTTATATGCTCGTTACTTTGGCAAAATTGCAACTTTGCAATAGTATTGCATTCCTGATGAAAACCTGGTTGAACATGATACATAATATACTATTTTTCAGCTGAGTGCCAGGGACTTTAAAGCATATGGTTTTGTGCCCTGCAATATTTTGTTTCCAGTGCTATTTCATGGTTTGATTTTGCCCTTTTCTACATAGCTGGGATGATACAGGAGGACAGACACCTGACTGTGGTGCAGCTCTTGCCTGGTAAACATTCCCTCTTGCGGTCTGCTGGGTGGGAAGGGGCTCCAGCTTTGGCTGCCAGCCAGGAAACGGAGAGGAAGTTCCCTTCACCTGCCTGTTATAATTGTGGCTATTTCCCAATGTGCAAGGAGGGGGTGTAGCCCAAGGTCTTAAAATGCATATGGCCCAACTTGCCAAGGTTTACCCCCCAGGCACTCACCCAGCTGGAAGCTGCGAGTTCCTTACACCACTGTGTGGTTGTTCTCTGAAGTGATAGATACTGAGGTGTCTTGTTCTGACTTGTCCAAGATCATTTCTTCTTCATTCCCTACACTCAGGTGAAGCACCAGGAGAAAACAGTTTTAACGGGAGTAAAACCTTTTGCCACTTTTACCTTCTCATCCTCCCTTTCTCCTGTTCTGAATTCTGTGTTCCGGATGCATTCGTTCTGTTCCTTGCCTCCACTGTCACAAAATAACAAGCACTTTCAGAAGACAAATGTTCAGTCTAATACTTCAAGATATTTTTATTAGAAAGGTTTTAAACTTTACTGGGGTTTTTGGCCACTGACACAGCACAGTTTTATGATGGTTGTCAGAATGAAATGAGATGAGGACTAACCCTTACACGAGGTTTTGCGGTGTGGACAAAACCTCCTCCTCTTTTGACACTGTGTATTAAAAGGCCAGACAGAATTTCAGTCTCTGGGCTTGAAGGAACACAGAGCACCTACTGAAATGGGAGAAAGTGTTTCTGGTTGCCTGACATGCTGAGATCTGTGCTAATACCTTGGACTCGTAGGACCTTTGGATGAGTAAAAGCAAATTGAAACATTTTAAGGTCTGCTCTGTAAGAAGAAGGAATTGTTTTAATTGAAGAATAGTCTTCCAGGGCTCAATTCTTACTAGAGTTAACACCCCCCATTTTTTTTTCTGAAGCACATGTTCTGAAACTTTACACTTTAGATATTTGTCTCAATTTGTCCTTGAGAGAAGAAAGTAGAGTGAACAGGTTATTGCACCCTGTTTTACCTGGAAACTCTAATGCCCACAGACTTGGGGTTCAAGATTCAAAGTGGAACAGCTGTTTTAACAGAGCTGGACTT